CTTAAAAAACTGTTGAGAGTTACAATCTCTGCTCTGGCAAGTTCTGCATGTAATAGAATTATGTGGGCAATTTCCACATCCTTGTTTAGTGAATTTTTCGAAAGCTGATTCCTCGGATTTTCCTGAATTTTCTAAATAAATTTTTTTCAGAAGAAACGAAAGACCTTTTAAAATATCCACATTAATATAACACATCTTTCTATCACATTGCCTATGCCCCTTTTTTTGCTCACCAGATTCTTCCCTTTCATAGCAAAATATAGTTTCGTCTGATTTGTTTCTAGAATTGCATTTGTAATCTCTACAATCAACGCAAGGTATGTTAATTTTGTTTTCATCACAAGTTCCACAACCAGCATTTCTATCTTAAAATATAGTAGGATATTTTATGTGGAAGAATCTTGGAGCCTAATTTTGAAATAGAGTTGGCCGGGATCGGGATCCCGGTCGGGATCTGGCGGGATTATCCCGAGTTTTTCAAATCCCGATCCCGATTTTTCTGATCCCGAGACCGAAAGGTGAATCCCGATCCCGGTTTTGGATGATCCCGATCCCGAGCCGGGATCCGGGATCGGGATGTGCATCAAATCCCGAAGAAAATCCCGATTTTATAAATTGACTAGAAGTCTGAAATAAAGTAAACAGAAGAGGGGAGGCGTGAACGTAAGAAAAAATTTTCGCCTGCGGCGCAGAAAATGAAAGAAAACTGGCTCCTGGACCTTACAAAATTACAAAATTTTCGCCTGTGGCGCTGGAAAAGGAAGTCACTCACAACACTCAATCACAATCACCCAAGCCACGAAATCGCTAATATTCCTGTTGATCCCTTAATTCGCCCAAATTCCTTTATACCTCGATATCCTCCTTAATCGCTCGATAATCTCGCTCGATAGAGAATCGCTCGATAGATCCTCTGAAATAATATATTCCATTGATTTTCCACCCGGATTGACTCTTCAAAATTATTTAAATTTCTGATAGATTCTTTGATAGATTCCTGATAGATTCCGCAGTTGAAATTTTAGAATTATATTGAAATGTATGTACATATGTGAAGAAAATAAAAATTTAAAAGTTAAAAAAAATTTTTTTAGTAAATCCCGATCCCGATTTTCCAATCCCGGTCCCGATTCGGGATCTCCATTCCAAATCCCGATTTCGGCCAATCCCGATCCCGTGTCGGGATCCGGGATTGGGATCACCATTCCTAAATCCCGATCCCAGGTTTTTCTCTAAATCCCGATACCGGCCAACTCTATTTTGAAATAAGCACCTGAAATGATCTGAGAGTAAACTTGTTAGTCTAGTCATTTTTTAGATTAGTTTTTTCAAAATTTTTGCAATTGGGTGGAGCTGCAGCGATACCCTCCCCCCCCCCATCCCCCAACTTCGATTTAAATCATCTCTCATAATATATGATTTTTATGATCTAGGGATGCATAAAAAAATTATGCCCTACTGTATATTTCAAAAACCTTTATCAATATAACAATCAGGATTTGGGCATTCCAACAGTTTCTCTCCATCAGAATCAAAACAATAATAAGGAAAACTGTTTCCTTCATTACAACGATGTCCAGTACATGTTTTACATGTTGCAGAAGTGCAATACCGCAACCCTTATTTACTTAAAATTAAAAAATATTTTAAATATTCTTTAGTCATGTTACATTCATTTGTGCTAGTTCTCTCAGTAAAACAATTATCATGATATCCTGTTGAACAAGTTGAACCATCCTTATTCCAACAATGTTTAACTCCAATTATTTTAGTATTACAAAAATTTTGTTTGCAATTCCTGCAATCAACATCTGTGCATTTCCCACATCCTTGTTCCACTAAAAAATAATTTTATTCCTGAATCCCAGATCTCTCACCTCTCCCATCCGAGAGTCGACGAAAGAAGCATTCTTCCTCACATTGTTTTAAAGACCTTTTGGATACGACCAACTTATCTTTTCTTTTATCTAAACAAAATAGACTTTCTTTGAACAAGTTTTTAGTATTGCAAAGATATCTATTTTGACACTTGGCTGCCAGTACATTTGATTCAGTCCAAGAGGTTTTATCACCACAGCCTTGTTCAACTAAAATACATTTAAACTTTTAGCATTCCTGGGGATATAATGGATTGAAGGGATTGAGATTATATCAGTCTTTATTAATACCACCTATTCCCTCATAATACCTCTTATATCTTGTTTAATCTTCTATATCCACAAAAATCTCTCCACCTTTCAACACATTTATTCTCAATTTTTCATTATTCGGCGTTGGGCTTATAATATCTCACAATTTACGTTTATGTTCCGGTTAATTAAAGAGTTTGATGAAACCGGCAACCCTAGATGATTATCCTGTTCCCCATTTAACCTTTTATATCATTGATGACAGCATAGTAGCAAACATTTCCGTATTCTGAAATCTTGCATGGAATGGTTGTATTTGCAGTAGCCCAGCAATAATGACTCTCTTTAAACAGCGTTTCAGTGTTACAAAGTGTAGTATTGCAAGCTTGGCACGGAATAGCTGTAGAAGGGCATTTTCCACAGCCTTGTCGGTTATATTTTTTCAAATCTGCTTCTGATTCTCCTTAAATTATTAGGGTACTTGACAATTATTGTTGACAACCTTTAGTAGTATCGGCCGAGATGAAACACGTTTTCGCAACACATAGCCGTCTCCCTTCTCTCTCCAGTCCATTTTCTTCTCTTTCATAACAAAATACATTTTCCTTTAGTTTATTTTGAGAATTGCATTTGAAGTCATTACAATCGACACAAGACGTTGTAATTTTATTTCCATCACAAGTTCCACAACCAGCATTTAAATCTAAAATAATCAATTTTTACTTATCCTAGGGTCAACCGTGACTCTTATCTCGCAACCCGAAGGGGGGGGGGGTGCAACCCTAATTTGATTATGAACGGGCTTAATACCTTTGTCGATGTAACAGTCAGGATTTGGGCATTCCAGCAAACTATGTCCATCAGAATTTAAACAATAATAGGGAAATTTCTTCCCTTCATTACAACGATGTCCAGTACATGTTTTGCATGTTGGTGAAGTACAGTTCCCACAACCCTTTTTTACTTAAAAACAAAAATTTAGATATTTATTTTATGTTTTACATTCATTTGTCACTGTTCTCTCAGTAAAACAATTTTCATAATATCCAGTTGAACAGGTCGAACTATTAGTAGTCCAACAATGTTTCATCCCAATCTCTTTAGTATTACAGAATTTTTGCTTACAATTTCTACAATCCTTCTCTTTACATTTTCCACAACCTTGTTTCACTAAAAATTAATTTTTATCAAAAAGACTGAACAATTATCAAACATTTTCCATTCAAATTTCGACTTGTATAACATTCTCCTTCTTTACAATATTTAAAAGAATTTGGCTCTGTGATATTTTCCTTTGTCCAACAATAAACACTTTCATTAAACAGTTTTTGAGAGTTACACAATGTATTGTTGCATGTTTGGCAGGGAATGGATGTATTTGAAGGGCAATTGCCACAGCCTTGTCGGGTATATCTTTTTAATGCTTCTTCTTCAGATGCACCTGAAATTTAGCTCCATTTGGGATACACAAAATATACACTAATTGAAACATTAAAAATCGAGACTGCACCCTAAGCCCGAAAACATTATAAAACGTCATAAGTGAAAGTAAGACCAAAATCGAACGCTTCTATACGATACACCAATACTGTGCTCTTCATTCTATTTGCGCGAAAATAACTGACATGACTACTACCCAAAATAATTAAAGGTTTAACATGTTTAAATCCTAAAAAATGTTTCGTCTTTTCAAATAGATCCTTACGCAGACCAATATATTACTAAGAGTAAGAAGTCATACAAATTAAAGCCAGCGAAATTTCTTCCACAGAATAGTTAAAGAATGGAATTCTCTTCCCTTGGAGACTATGAAAATTAATAAGCCCAGGAAATTATTGAAAACTATGTACTAAGTTTTGTATGGTGTTTCCAGATTTAAGATGCAGATTTGTATAAGGAATGAAAGGATATTTAAGATAAATTTTTGTCGTTACCTTTAAAAAGATCTACGGAAATGTAACAAAGTTTCTCTTCACAAGGCCTTCTCCCTTCATTCTCCTTTCCATTTTCTTCTCTTTCATAACAAAATACAGTCTCTTCTAATTTAATTCTAGAATTGCATTTAAAATCTGTACAATCAACACAAGATACATTAATTTTGTTTTCATCACAAGATCCGCAACCAGTTTTAAAATCTTAAAGTTTTGATAAAATTATCAAGAATTGTCATAATTAAAGGTAGAGTGTGATTGCAGAAGAGAACATCCCATCTAAATCCCCATTTCGGGTTATATCTAAATTAAAGAGGAGTATGGATTAGGAGTTAAGAGAAGTATGGAAGTATGGTTAAGAGAAGTCTTTTCCACTAACGACTTTTTATAAAGGGTTATTGGTACTTTTCCGTTATGACGTAACCCTCTAAATTAATGTTCAAAATGTCATATATAGGATAGAAAAAGGTGCTGAGTCGAACGGTACCACTCTTTCTTCACGGAGATGCCAGTGGGCCGAGATATAGGGCTCGAAATGGTCAAAAACCAGCTCAATTTTGGGGTGAAAAATTCCATTTTTTGAATGATAGCGCTCATTCGAAAGAGCTCCTCGAGCTGAGTCAAATGACACCAAAATCAGCTCGAAATCTTGATTTTGAGATGAGATTAACAAGCTCAAAATGGTCAACTTAAACCTATGGGGCGTAGGCGAGGCGCACTCCCCCATATGGTTTTTGACCATTTCGAGCCCTATATCTCGGTCTACAGGCATCTCCGTGAAAAAAGAGTGGTACCGTTCGACTCAGCACCTTTTTCTACACTATATATGACATTTTGAACATTAATTTAGGGTGTTACGTCATAACGGAAAAGTACCGGGTTTTAAATAGTTAAATAAAAGTACCGAGTTGTACCGGGTTTTAAAATATTTAAATAAAAGTTATAGTATGATAGGAATCTCAAAAATCAAGATGCCCTTCCCAAAACTCAAAATAAACATACATTTATCTATATAACAATCCGATTTTTTACATTCAATTACACTTTTTCCATCGTAATCCAGACAATAGTAAGGCAAATCATTTCCATCATTACACTTGTGTTTATAACAAGTAATGCATGTTTTAGATGGACAATTTCCACATCCCTTGTTGACTTGAAAAGGAAATTTTAGCATTAAGAAAGCAAAGTAGAAAAAAATTTCTTGTCATAGATTTCACAGAAAAACGTTACGGATAAAACCGGATTCAAATGAAAAAACCGTATTAATTCAAACTGGCATCTATCGAAAAACGCAAAAATAAATGTTATATAGAGAAAAATTCTGAGGAGAGTAATAACTAGAGTCCGACATTTTAGGTCCAGAAAATCGTGAAATAGGCTCCTATCTTAGTGATAGTATGAGCCAAAATAGGTCCAAAAAATCTGAAAAAGGCCAAAATAGGTCCGATTTTTGACAAATAGTTTCTTTAATAGCACTGAAACCTTGGTTCCACTCTCTGCCTATTTTAAGTTGCTTTGTAAAATTATTTTAATAACACATTGTCTTATTAAAATTTGTTTAAAATTTTTAACCTCCATTATTTTGCATTCTCTCTTCGAAACAAGCTTCATTAAATTTTGCAAAACATAAATTTTTCGTATTTGTAAAACAATTTTTGTATGCTAATTTTTCCTCATTACAGTAATTTGTTTTGCAATTTGTACAGTAATTGTCTTTGCAGTACCCACATCCTTGATCTAAAATGAGAAATAATAAAACTAGATTTGGTTTCAAATTCCAGTCCAAATTCATTCTGGCCTGGAAAATAATTAATCGAGTATTTTTTATCCCAACATTAAGAGATCAAGTTGTTGTCAGTTTCGAACCGAAACGAAACCCCTAAAGTTTTGCTACAGCTTATGGACTGTTTTGGTTAACAGATGAATTTAGTGAAATCGACAACTCTACTCAAGACTAAGATGCAAACCGAGACAAATACTTCAGGCTCGTACTTTGAAAGCTCGTACCGAGTACGAGCAAAAAATGGTCAGGTACCAGCATGAGTACGGGAAAAAATTATTGAAAAACTCATGAGTAAAGGTTCAGAACCAAGAGACTAATAACAAACATAAAACATCGCCGCGACGAACATAGCACTCTTCATGACACTGTTTAATGTTCTTTTTTGATTGTTCATTAGTTATTTTTACTTCATTCAATACTAAACAAAAAAGGCTACTTTCAAATAATTCCTTCGTATTGCAAAGGTGTTTATTTTGACATTTGGCAGCTCGAACATTCATTTCTGTCCATGAATTTTTATCTCCACACCCTTGATCAACTAAATAATATCTAGTTTATTTAATGATGTAAAATAGTTCAGGTTAACCGATGGCAGGATACGGAACCATAAATTCCTGAATTTATGGTCAGACAATCATTTCTTTACTTTTTATTAGGGTTTTACATAAATTTAGGCAACCTAGCATGCTTTAGCATTAATGTACTATATACCATCGGAAACTAAATTTGCAACTTTTTTAATTTAAATGTTTTTTCAAAAAATTCAAAATTTCTGGGAATAATTTCGGAATACTAAACAGACTCCGATTGGGACAAATTATATGTCATTCGACTCAGCTCGGCGAGCTGAGTCGAATGACATCAAAAAATCGATTGGGACGTAACTATGGGCCGAGATACAGGGCTCGAAATGGTCAAAAACCATAGGGGGGACGAAGCACTTTTTTGGGGTGAAAAATTCGAATAGAATCTGGAGCCCAAAATTTTAGAGCCCAATATTCCGCTTTTTTCACGAAGAGCCCAAATTTCCGCTGGAGCCCAATTTTCCGAAAAGTTGGAGCCCAAATTTCCGAAAAATCTTGGAGCCCAATTTTCCAGAGCCCAATTTTCCGGCACTCGTTTACTATATGTATATTTAATACCTGTCTTATCGTTAATAACAGCATAGTAGCAAAATTTTTTGTACTTTAGACCACATGCCATAATTGTACCCGTCGTATCCCAACAATAATGTCCTGCTTTAAAATACTTTTCAGTGTTACATTCTTTTGTGAAGCAAGTATGGCATGGAATAGTTGTAGAAGGACAGGAACCACAGCCTTGTTGTTTATATTTTTTCAAAGCAGTTTCTACATCTCCTCCAGCTAAATTAAATTTTAGTTGTTAAATTTTGAGGTTATAGTTAAATCTTTTAGCCTAGCTCATAAACTTGAATTTTGCTTAAATCAACTATAAAAGAATACTTTTTACAAAATCAGCAGAAATAAAGCAGGTTTCTTTTTCACAGTATCTTGGACCAACTTCCTTTTCTTCACTATTAAAGCAAAAAAGAGCTTTTTCATATGCTCGGTGGGTATTGCAATTATTAGTGTCACATTGATAACACAGTTCACCTTCTTTACATTTGCCACATCCAGAGAACCAACTTTTGTCATCTATTCTTCTATAGATGCAACTCAAACCCTTGATACAATAATTTGATACTCCGCCTACCATACAGTAGAGAAAATTCCGTGTAAATAGTTGCATAGTATTGCATTTATAAGTTAAACATTCAAGGCAATTTTTATCATTGTTACAACTACCGCAACCTATAGCAACTTAAATATTTGAACTTTATGATTGTATCTCCTGGAAACACGACAGTTTTTTTCATGCACAATGAAATGTAGCATAATTAAGAAAAACTTTACGAAACAAATGAGACATTTAATTTTATAAGAAACTGTATCAACAAATATGTACATATTCAAGATTACCTGTGTCGACCACACCCTCAGTTGTTTTTGCTACCTTAACATGACAAGCCTTATCAGTTTTACATGTGCCTTTTGTTGAAAGATTGCAGATTATACCAAATCCATCATAAATCTTTAATATAATACAAGTATAAGTAACATTTTCAGGTCCTCATGTGAATATCTCCTAGTTTTCCTTTTTTTGAATTTGATCGGCTATGCATAGAATTCTTATTTTTGATTACTTTTATATTACTCCCTGATATTACTATTAATCTATCCAATTCAATTTAATCGCTGCCTCTTATTATAGCACTTTCATATTCTCTTATTAATCCGACAAATCACTGATATCCCCCACCTTTCGAAAAATTTGGCTTTATGTTCAAATTTTTAACTGACCCGACAGAAACCCAATCTAAAGAAAATTTTGAAAACCCAACCCGAAACCCGACCCGACTTTTTTCTCAACACGTCTCATCCCTGATACTCACCCGCTAATACTTAATAACTCCTTAGCCCTCGAAAAAATTTTCGGTTCGGTTAACCGAAGAATTTGGTGAAACTTACAACCCTACACAATAGTAAAAAATATTCATTAACTAATTGGTTTCAATATAAATTTTACTTGTAGAATTTATATATTTCTTTAAATTATATTAAATTATACAGGGTGTCCCAACTAAAAAGCACTATTTTAAAAATTAATAACTTTTTACTATCTTGACGGATTTTAATGATTTTTGGTATTTTATATCTATAATTTATGAGAATCTAGTGCTATCGCCTAGTGTTTACTCTAGTGTCTATCGCTGCTCAAAAAAAAACAAAAGGGAGTAAGAATGCATGTGCGGAAAAAGGGAAAAACAGAACGGTAGAGTACGAAATTATCTCGGGTTAGGGTTCGAATTTAGACATAATTTTTATGTCAAAAAAATTCTCATAAATTATAGATAAAAAATACCAAAAATTATTAAAATCCGTCAAGATAGTAAAAAGTTATTAATTTTTAAAATAGTGCTTTTTAGTTGGGACACCCTGTATATTAAAATTATTTTAAGTAAAATTACTTGTATAATCAGAAATATTATAGTTAATATACAATACATAAAAAGCTATGTGTAAATAATAATATACTATAAATTCTAAATTTAGAAATAAATAAGCAGATGGGTTTAAAAAGTTAGGAAATGCAACTCCAAGCTAATTTAAAAGTATAAAATATTTAAAAATTATTCGGAGGGAGGGGGGGGGGGAGTTAAATCATTTGTCTAAATGTTTGTAAATGTATCTGTTAGCTTGCTGTTTTTTATAATTATTTTTAGAGTTAATCACTGGTATCTAATCAAGTGATTAGTTTAGTCCGTTATTTAAAAATCTAGAAACAAAAAATTTAAGACTAGAATCCTGCTTTAAAAAAATTTTTTTTAATTAATGTATGTATCTCCTTGCAAGTATTAACTGGAAATTACCGTATTTCCTGTATTATAGCCCCCCCCCTCCGAATTAGTGCCCCCCTGCTCAATAAAGCCCCCGTTTCGAGGATGGTTGAAAAATAGAGCCCCCCGTCTGCATTAGAGCCCCCGTCTTTAACAGAGCCCCCCTTTTTGTCAGCTGTTAAATAGGTAAACTATGTAAAGCTGTTGGTCCGGTTCACACTGCCTCGTTGTTTAGTTGATTTCATAGTCAGAGTTGCGCAAGTTGCAATCATGTGTGAATACCGTTGGGTATAGAAAATAGGTAAATCGTGCAATATGGGAATATAGGGAGACTTCGCTATAAGATTCAATGGATTGGCCGGCCAGCAAATCTGAGCTCAATGAATAAGTGATCAGCCTTTGCCTATTCCTTTAGCTTTCCCAAGAATAAGTTAATGGTGATGTTAAGCTTAGATCTAGATTTTAAGCTAAAAAAATTTTCGACCTAGCCTAAAAAGTTTATTAATGCTTGAACTATTCTCTATCTTTTCATATAAAATTTATTATTTAATCCTCCAAAATTAATGGTTAAAAGATTCATATTATATTTATATTTATTCCCTGTTATCCCAATTAATCCAGCTAAATAACATTCATATCACTATTAATTCCTGAATCCCCTGATCATTCAAATCACCTTATATCCCTCGATCCTCACAAATTCGTAGATATATCCTTACTCCACATTCCTCGATAAAGAAATTGGCTTAATTGTCTAATTTAACGTTATCCTTTATCCAAAAAGTACATACATAACAACCCTAGCTTTATAACTTTTGGAGAAAAGGACAACTGTTGCATGCAATATCATACAATTACTATATTTTGTTTTTGTGCTAGAATTTCAATTAAATTGAAAAGTTAGGTTGTCTATAAATTTGAATGAAAAACATGCTCCCTATTTTAAAAATAGGTTGAAAAATACAGCCCCTCGTCTCAATTAGAGCCCCCCTCTTTAGTACAGCCCCCCTTTTCGGGATAGTTGAAAAATAGAGCCCCATGGGGCTCTAATACAGTAAATACGGTATCTGTTTCCGTCGATTCTATAAATTATTAAAATGATTAATGATTAACAACTAACTTTCCTAATATTTTAATTTTTAAATTTAGATATTAAATAAATATAGGGATAATGATAAACTTTTAAGATTAACTAAAATAACCGTTTAAATTAACTAGTAAATTTTTGCTAACTTACATATATGTATGATTCATTGCTTTCATTTTACAAAATAACGACAATATTTTTAAGCATTAACAATATTTTAAATAATGTAGTTGAAGGACAAAACTATATTCGAATAAACGTCATGTTGAATGGGATTGTGTAGATTGGCTTGTTTGGATTATTACTTTTTCTCTTACTGCTGTTTATGCTTTAGGATTTTATCTTATTTTAGTAGAAGATTATTGAAAAAGAATATGTACACACAAATGTTTTTTAGATTTAAAATGTGAAAGATGCGAAACGCAAATGTGCTAAATCGCCAAGCAATGTTATATAGGTGTAAACGAGCCAGTAAATACTGGCATCGTTGTCACAGATTCGAATCCTATCCGTTGAGCAAAGATTATAAAAAATCGTAAAATTCGACTCCAAAATTTATTGATATCTTTAATATCATCATAAGTTTCGAAAAATTCATAAAAATATGCATATCAAATCTTTTAACAGCTACATATATAAGCTTAACTAAATAGAACGATCTTTTCTCATAGCTTTGCCAGCAAAAACATTTTTATGAGAATATTTCATAAAATGAAGTAATGAATCATTTAAATTATTATGTAAAAAAATTTAGTAGTTAATTCAACCGTTTATTTTATTTTCTCCTAAAATTTAACAACATCATTACACATTATTTAATATTTAAATTAATGCTAAAAAATATTAACTAGCTGGTTGACAATTTGTACTATTCAGTTTAATAATTTATAAAAATTTATGTGTCAGCGGAAATAACTAGATTTTTCAATAATATTTCGTAGTAAATACTCTTCGCTAAAATTTTTCATTGTACATAATGTTGACTTTGAGTACTTTTTCTGCTTCTTGTCAAGATTTTGTCTCGTATCACTCGTTAGTTTATTCATATACATTAAAATTATTCAATGATTTTTTGTTTCAACGGCTTTTCAACTATTCAAATGAGAAACTGAACCGAGTCGAGATCTCGAACATGAATTATGGTTATTAATACCTTCTAGATATCGGTCTCTATCCTCGTACGAACTCCCAGAGCGGTCACTAATTCAATGTTGACATGAGTAAATTTGAAAAATACATAAGGGCGAAATCTAACCTATAGTGCTAGATATCATCAAATTTCGACGCCGAGGGGCAAAATTTCTTCCTTTTTCAGCTCCGCAGGCGAAAAATTTGAGAATTTTAGAAGGCCAAGGAGCCTGTTCTGTTGAAATTAATTTTGGAAATGATCTTGAAAATAAGCCTTTCTGTTATGATATTACTAAAAATATTTGAATGAAGTTTTTTTTTACTTCAACTAAAGTGGTTCACGACAGAGTATAGAACGGAAAATTTTATCGAAAATTTAAATTCTAATTGAAAAATAAGTGCTTTTTTTAAGAATTTTCCCCAAAACAAACCCATTATTCTGTAAAAACCATAACCGAAAATCAGATTTTAAAAATAAAATTTAAACTATTCTGTCAAGTTTTAATTTTTTAATCTTTTTTAATTTCCTTAAATTTTTCTTTATTCGATTTTTTGAATTCCCAAATTTATTCGTTTTTTCTTCAATTCACTTTTAAAATTTTTTAAATTATTATATACTATTACTCTCATTTTATTCTCCTTTTTGTTTGTTTTTTTGCCTTTTTGTGATTATTACTTTTTAAAATTTATTATTCCAGTTTCGCATTTTTAATTTTTGCTATGTAAAATTTGAATAAAATGAAAGTTTATCCAATGAAAGTTCATGAGTTCATGAATTCATCCTTCGACATATCTTGCTTTTCATTTTTTTGTTCTTCTTTGCCTTCATCAACAGAATGTGTAGTCTCTTCCAAATAGATTCCTTGCAAAACATTTTCCTCTCCCTGCTTAATTTCATCCTTCTTGTTCGGGTCGTTCTCTTCTTTCTCCTCCTCTCCCGGTTGTTCTCCATCTAATTCAACGAAATCGTGTCCATCTGGAATCGCTGGCTGTGTAGAATGTTCTGTTTCCTTTTCTTTAGTTGTGTTGGATGCTTCTGTTGTTTTGTTAATTGTTTCTATTGTAGGCACTAATTCTGTACTAGTTTTCAATTCATCAACTTTTTTTGGAACGAAGATTTCATTCCAAAGTTTCCAATCGTATGTCTCTTCCGTTGAATTTCCAGTTAAATGTATGCTTAGGCCTTTCATCTACAAAATTTATAATTCCAAAATAATCAAAATCATTAAAAAAAGAAATACTTCAAAAACATGATCCTCCAAATCCTTTAGGTCTAGTTCCTTTTCGAAGTTAATAACATGCTAAAATTGAAAGGATTAATTATTTGTATGAAAAATTTTTTATTCCAAAAATCGCCCCTTTGGATCTTCGGTTTTTAGGGGTCTATATCTCGGTCCAATCAAGTCGAATTTCGTTGATTTTGGTGTCATTCGACTCAGCTCGAGGAGCTCTTTCGAAAGAGCTATTATTTGCATATTCGAATTTTTCATCCCAAAATTGTGCTTACTCCCCCCTATGGTTTTTCGATTTTCGGGGACCTATATCTCGGTTCACATGCATTTCCACGCCTGGAGAGTGGTACCGTTCGAATGGTATGCGTCTTATTCGGAACTAAAACTCCGGTATACTAAACTATATCCCTTTTAAATCATACTTTAGCTGGCTCTCCTTCACAACTGTGTTCAATCTCAATTTTGAATTTGTGTTTATATCTGAAATTAAAATAATAAAAAAATATTTTAATTTAAATTTACGTAAGTGGAGCAAGTTCAATTTCCTCATTGAGAGATTTACGAGGACAGAGACTTTATGGAATTTATTAAAATATTTTTTTATAAAAATTTTCTTACCGTTCACTCAATATACCCCCAACAATGAAATTATTATTATATTTTGTCAAATCGAGTTCAAGGATGCTTAAATTTGGGAATAAATTAATTATTTTGTTACTATATATGTATAGTAAGAGGAGGTAAAAGTTTAATCCCGGGCACCTTCTGTCAGTTATTGCTAGTCGCTTTCGTTCACCACATACTAGTGATGCTCGGGAGAAGAAAAAACCCGGGAATCGGGAAACGGGAGTCGGGTCGGGAAATGACCTCGGGAGTCGGGATCGGGAGTCGGGAATTAGCAATAAAAAATTTTCCAAAAATTTCAAAAATTTTTGGCGCCTTCGGCGCCAAAAATTCCAATTTTTTGCACCATGGCTAAAATATTGAAAATTTTGGAAGGTAAAGAAGCCTTACTAGCGCTGCAGGCGAAAATTTTGAGAATTTTTAGGTCAAGAAGTCAGATTTCTTCCATTTTTTGCGCCGCAGCCAAAAATTTTGACTCTCATTGGAGTGAAATAGAAAGGGGTCTTGAACGATCTTTAAGGGTAACTTAAGAGTTTATTTCCCCGATTATTTGGAAAGATAAGCCAACAGCCTTTCCAAAAAACCTTGTAACCGCAGAAATAATCAGTGTTGGGTATTGCTGGGGGCTTTTTCTTTGAGCCAAAGCCCAGCTTTGATTTATATTTGTTGTCATTGACCTTAAGTCCTTAGAATCTCTCCATTGGAGTTAAATAGAGGAAAAGTGAAACAGAGAAAAATATTTTTACGTTCAATTTTCGTGGAATTTTGGTGAACTAGCCACATACCGTATTTACTCTGGTAATTCCCCAGGGGGATTATTGTTTCGACCCATCTCTAGGGTGGGGAATTAATAGAGACTGGGGAATTAATAGAGTTGGGTAGAAAGAGGGGGATTATTGTTTCGACCCATCTCTAGGGTGGGGAATTATTAGAGACTGGGGAATTAATAGAGTGGGGTAGAAAGAGGGGGATTATTGTTTCAACCCATCCCCAGGGTGGGGAATTAATAGAGACTGGGGAATTAATAAAGACTGGGGGATTACTAGAGCAAATACGGTATTTCTTTATATCCCCTCAAAGTATTAACACCCCCTATGCAACGTTAATCATACATTGATATCCCTCTTTATTACTGCAAATCCCTCGTTATCTCTTTAAATTCACCATAATCCTAGTAAATCACCGAAATCTTCTATACTACAACTCCACGGATTCTTCAATTTTCAGCGCCGCAGGCGAAAATTTTGAGGATTTTGGAAGATCCTTAAGCCAAAAATCTTCCCTTTTCAGCGCCGCAGGCGAAAATTTTGGTAATTTTAGAAGACCAAGAGGCCAGATTTCTTCATTTTTTTAATGAAAATATAATTTTGTCAGAAAAATCCATTCTTAGGGGTGTAAAAATTTCCCGACTTAGTCGGGAATTGACACCGGGAGTCGGGATCGGGAGGCCAAAAACTCGGGAAATTTTCCCGAGTCGGGATCGGGATACCCGAGCATCACTACCACATACATGTGCTCTACCAACTGAGCCTTCTCTTTCACCTTCTCTTTTAATAGATCCTAAACCCCCGCCTAGTTCTAGCTGGAATTTTCTTTCCCTTACAGTATATTCCCACCTGATGTCTTCATGAGTTTCGGGGCAAACATTTTCAAGCGGTCCCTCAAAATATTTCTTGTAAGAAATTTGAAAGAAAACCAAAAATCACCTTTTTATGTAACTGAATAAATTTTATAGTGATTGTCTGATTACTTGAGCTTCCACAAATCACACAACCTCCAATCATTACAAGAGCCATGTCTAAAGATCTTTTTTACAAAATTTCTTTAAATCATTTTTAACCTTGCATATAATTCTTTTTGTATTCAGAGATATTTTTTGGATTATTCCTTTCAAACAATGTACTGTTTTTAACAATATTAATTCCTTTAGATCCAAAAAATTTTAATCGAGCGCAATAAGTAAATATACTTAAATTAAGAGGGGAATTTTTCAGAATTATTTGAGCCTTTATTTAGACTTACTCATAATTTGGGGAACTGCAATAAAACGATATTTCTAAAATGTCTTCTGGAAGGATGCTCAGTTTTCTATCATTATTTTTTTTCTCTCTAACTTCTATCTTTAATGAAATACTAAATGTTTAAATTAGAGTTGGACTAGACGAGACCGATACCGAGACCGATACCGAGATTCTCGGCTTTTTTCCAATATCGGTCTCGGTTTTTTCATTCTCGTTCTCGAAACCGATACCGATATTCTCGGTCCATTTCTCGGCGAGAAACGATACTGACTTAAAGACCCAATTTTCTTGTATTTTTTAATAAAACTGAGGATTTTTGACCTTTGGCCTTCTGAATTTCAAAAAATTTTCGCCTGCGGCGCTGAAGAGTGAATCCTTCTTTATTTGCCTTACAAAATCCGAGCATTACACTAAGCCCTCACGATTGAGTTCACAACTGAGTTGCCCTTTATCTAGCTCAACTGAGTCCCAGTAATTAAATAAAATTAAAAGGCTTAAAGGTAATTCCAAAGCTGGTCCCCCCTTTTTTCCTTTCTATTTTTTTCGATTTTTTAAACTTTGTGGCAAATTATATGTTGTTCGAAAGAGCTCTTCAAGCTGAGTCGAAAGGTACTAAATTTATCGAAATCCGACATAAATAAATTAGCTATAACCATTTCTTTTAATCCCTTTCAACATCACAAAAAGCATGTCTATCGAGGTTTAGCTTCATAACTCTGACCAGAATCTCCAAATCGAACCGATCATAGTATCATTCTACTCAGCTCGAACAGCTCTTTCGAATGATATATTGTAAATTATATGTCAAGCAAAAAAAGCTCAAAATGGTCAGGGGAACAGTAAAAAAAAGGGAGGGGACCAGCCTTGGAATTACCGGCTTAAATACAATACTGGGTTATTTGGAGTGATTTGGACCTACTATTGTATTTTTTATAAAAAAGGATGTTAACCATCAATCAAATCGGATCCAGATGATAAAGAGTATTTATCTGATGATTTGGATGATGAAAATAATGAATAAATTATTTTTACACGTATTTTTTGACGTAAAATAAAATTTTCTGTTAGTCTCGGTCAGTATCGTTTCTCG